CAGGTGAAAATAACAGTTCCATAAAGAAGCTATCCCAATAAAATTCGTAACCTGTTCGTGCCACGGATTCAAATCGCCAACGTCTTATTGCAAATGACTCTACAGATTTTTTCGTATCTGGTGGATTTCACTTGAGATCAAGTAACACCAATCTCCGCAGTAACTCAGCCCTCACCTTCTTATTCTCGTTGATAATGCTGTCATTTGAATTCTTCTAATTACACCTTGTCATTTTAATCCATCCAATCTCATTACAAGATTTATTGAGACTATTCCACGTTTTCCAATTTTGATGTCAACAAGTGTTACTTTCATTTTTCACAATTTGTAAAGTTCTCTCTCATAGTCCAGGCATCTTTATGTTTTTTTAAATATTTTCTTATTTTAATCTGCTGCCGACTGAAATGGTTGAGTTCACCCAAAAATGTATTCTTGTTTCTGTCATCTTTTTTGTGAAACTTTCTGTTTGTGGTTATTGAGTCCCCTTTCCTTAGCTAAGATGTTTTCAACACCCCCCCGGCCCCTACATTTTTCTTGCTTCTGTTTTTTAGAGTCTTTATTTAGTTTCGTTCTGTTGCTTCCCCACATATAGTTTATCTATCTTCGTAAATAGCTTTCCTTTTTCTCAGATTTTGTATTTCATGTTCCAGTCTCATTTCTCATCCAGATTTTGCAGTTTTGTTCATGAGCTTCTTTCTAAAACAGCGAGTTTGTGAATGACTATTTTGGTATTTTTTACACTAGATGGCTAAATCCAGTGTGGATCGGATTTATTGGATAAGTTTATTCAATTTCTCAATGAATATATCACCTTCTTTTAATTATGGTTCTAGGGTCTTCCTGATTATACCAACATTTCTTTTTTACGTAATTGGTTTTCTTTTTGTGACAATTTCATTTCTTATTCTATGAAATCTTCAGCAGTTGTAAGTGGCTGGAGCCCCGTGGCTTTCACTATTTCTCTTTCACGATCTTTTCAGTATAATTTTTTTTTTGCTTGATAAATAATTTTTTTCTTTTTTGCAGGAAAAGCTTTCGTTTCCGTATATCTACAAATCGTTTCCGTATATCTACAAATCGTCGTCATTTCTATGCGCGGTTGATTTTAAAAGAGTAGCAGATAATGATTTAGTCGTTTGCTATGCTCGATTTCTTTCTCAAGTAATTACGAGAAAGAAATAGGAACCTCCCCGGAGCTCATTAAGAGGAGGGAGAAAGGACCACTCCCGTTGACTCTCAAGTAGATGCCGAAAACGATAACAAAATCTGAGTGATTTGGATCCCAAATGCCGAACATGATATCAGAATTTGTGATATGATCACCAAAAGCGAATTTGATGTAAGAATCTGAGTGATTTGAACCCTAGTACCAGATATGATGTCAGAACCTATGATTTGAGCCCTGAATGCTGAACAAGATGTCAGAATAAAGACAAAAATAATCAAGTTAATATTTCCTAAAATAGCTGGAGTAGTGGGAAGAGGAGAGATTATTATTATTATTATTATTATTATTATTATTATTTTCTTTTATTTCTGGCGTTTACACATATCTTTCCGGGTCCCGCCCAGGGACCTAAGGTTAGAAATCGCGTCATGACACTTTCCACAGACAAAAAAAAAAAAAAAAAAAATACATAGATAAAGCCCTTCTTAAAGTGTGGGCTGTACTTGTCAGAACAATTTTTGTATCTCCTTGAGGCATGGACTTCCAGGAATCCCTTCAATTAGTCTACTGCAATCTTTTCCAACCAGTCCTAGGGCGCCAACTACAACAGGGATTGTTGATGTTCCCATATGCCACATTTTCGAGATTTCTATTTCAAGGTCCTTGTATTTTGACAATTTTTTGAATATCTTCAATTATTATTATTATTATTATTATTATTATTATTATTATTATTATTATTTCTGTTCCCGGGAAGTAAATTATATTATCTTTGATATATGTAATGGGTATGTGTCCGGATTTATTTTTTCTTTACTTTTTCTTTACGAAGGATAAAAAAAACAGAGCCTATTGTCATCTTTTATAGGATCGACAGAAGATGTCTTTTTAAGACCTTCAATAAAGAGTAATACTTTCTGAACGTGTGTATTGCTTGATATGTTAGTGTGTATCTGTTGAAATCCGTCATTAGATTTCGTAGACCATTGAAAAGGAAGTAGAGTTATTCTCGGAGGAATCACTCTCCCGTAAACAAAACTGCTGAAACCGAAAAGACAATAAGATGAAAGTTTGTCATATCAATCTTTATGACCGAGACGCTTATATGACAGAAGTTTTATTTCAGAGGAGATGGCATCGATTTGCTAATAATTAAATCAGCCGAAAAGCATCTTCCTAGGGGAGATGTGCTGCAAGCATCTTGCTGTCTGATCAAACATCTGTCGACATTTTCTTCTTGTCGAACTCAATAACAGGAGAGACGGCAAATGAAAGATAATATCGCCTCTTCAGACTCTAGGAAATTATAGAAATCTAAAAACTAAAGACAAGTAATCGTTGTTAAGGTGTCTTTAGAGTGGACGGTATCACGTGACAAATCCCAGCATGCTTTACATTCAAACATTTTGTTGGTTTCAGATATAGTTTCAATGAAGGAAGAATAACAGAATCGTAGTAAAAGTTTTGCTGGCACTATATATTATTTAACACCCACTAAGTAGTGAATACGATTCAGTGCCTCAATATATCTCCGTCGATCTACCAGCATATGTATTCGTATATTTCGTCCATATATATATATATATATATATATATATATATATATATATATATTATATATTTGAAAAATATACAGAAAAAACAAACAAAAAACTTAATATGCAATTATGCTGTATTAATGTTAATTTAATGTGAAACGTCGGACGTTTCAGTCTATTTTAGACCATCATCAGGACATATTCATAAAACATAATTAACATTAGAACATATACAAATTCAACATGATAAAGACGATGGACATAAGAGCACGACTAATCCAAACAGATAACTGAAATTTTCCAGACGATATTAGACAAGTTCAAAACTGTACAAATAACGCCAACAAAACCATTTCAGCAAAATAACACATATATATCCCCGATATACTAGGATCCCACAATACTTCATTTGGTTAACTAATCCTAAATGTATAATTTTAGAGGGGTGGGAGATAAAATTAACAAAGAAGATTTTCCTTAATTGATATTTACAATTATATATATATATATATATATATATATATAAAAATTATCTATCTAAAAATAGCTACAAATTAAATTCATGAATTAGAATCTAACTGATAAAGATTTTACCTTAACAGTCATTCACAATATTAAACTATTACTATTAGTAAATTTTTATTTTTTATTTTTATTTTTGTTTATCAATATAATATTCGGCTTATATTAAATACCTAATCTATTTGTGGAGAAGTTGAATATTTAAATTCCTAACAATCATTAAATTTAATTTCTTTGTAGAGTTTATAAATATTTAAATTACTATCAAACGTTAAAATCTGTTTTTATCTAAATGGCTAAAGCTATACTACTCCTCTTCTTCCTCCAAAAAGCCCTAAAGTACATCTCTTATATCTTATCCCTTTATTTCCTTCTGCTTTTTTTCTTTTCCCCTTTTTTCCTTTTTTCCTTTTTCCCATAGCATTTCCGTTGAAATAACAGATTAAATCGGTCATTGTCTGATCCTTACCCCTCCTTCTTCAATATTAAGTATTGTCATAAAAACAAAAAATAAAAATAAATTTAAAAACTCTCACTT